CTACACAGCATAAGGACATCAATATGTATCAGAAAATATAATAAAAATTTGGGGTGGTTTTGGAACCATTTTTTTGAAAAAACCATGGGCTATAGCCTTGGGTATTTTTCAGAAATTGGCCATTTTTATAAAATGGCCATAACTTGAAAAATTGAAGTCGGAATCAGCTCAAACTTTCTATACAGCATAAGTACATCAATATGTATCAGAAAATGTAATAAAAATTTGGGGTGGTTTTGGAGCCATTTTTTCGAAAAAACCATGGGCTATAGCCTTGGGTATTTTTCAGAAATTGGCCATTTTTATAAAATGGCCATAACTTGAAAAATTTAAGTCAGAATCAGCTCAAACTTTCTACACAGCATAAGTACATCAATATGTATCAGAAAATGTGTATAATATGCTCTTAATGTAATAATAATATATCATGTACTTTATATTGTGTATGAATAATGAGCTCATTCACTGACTGAATAAGCAAGCCAGTGTGTGTATAATAATATATTTTAAATTCCTTAGTGAGATGGAAGGAATTTCCCATCTCTTTCCTTTTGAAGTTGACAGCTAGTAGTGTAGAAACAGGAATGGAATTTTGTAGTTAAATATTGTATTTTAACGACTACTGAATGCTATCGTTGTAAAGGAGAGTGAGAGAGAAAATTTAATTTTAAGTTAATTAATGAGGCATATTGTGTTTCGTGTTCTTAGAGTTGTCTACAGTTACATATGCAGTGTTGTTGTACCTGGAATTTCCAAATCTGTTAAAAATATATTTTACACCTTACTTTCTATAGTTAAATTTTCTTTTCTCTCTCTCTTCCTCTCTCTCTCTCTCTCTCTCTCTCTCTCTCTCTCTCTCCCTTTCTCTCTATTAAAGGCTTGGATGTACAATGTCTATCCATGGATTGCTAAAGGTATTTCAGCTACTCTTGGTGGATGGATATCTAATCGTCTAATACAACAAGGTACATGTATATACAGTGTACATGTGACATTAATGATATTAGTTACTGTATAATTATGACTAGGACATTCAATGATATTTGTACATGTACAATGTATACTGTATAGCTGGGAATTTTTGAGTGTGTTAAATTTTTGGCGAATTGCTAAATTTTGGTGATTGACAAATTTTAATTTGGCGAATTTCTGGCCACATGCCATTGAGCATGCATATAATGGCTCAAAATGGTGGATTTTATTATGGCGAATGGCCATCAAAACGCTAAATTTGCCAAATTTAATTCCCTCCAAAATTTGGTAATAGGCATTACTCTTACTTAATGTACATGTGAATCTCTCAACATGAAAAATGACTGTAGGAAAGAATTCTTCATTTTCATACAGTCTAGTTTTCCCTGATACATTTACATGAAGAATGTACTTCATGTGATGATATGACGTAGAAAGTTTGAGCTGACTCCAGTCAAAATTGTGTATACATTTTGAGAGAAATTGGCTGACATTCAACCTTCAGATTTTTACTCATCTTTGAATGTTGTACTACAGCAACAGCAACATTGGTACGTGTCCATTGATGACAGCATGTACATAAAAGATGCTGTCATTTCGTTGATGTGTGTGTGTGACTACCACTTCAAAGTATTTTTATTCTCTTAATTTATTAATAATGAATTACTACCGTAGGTCGGGATATATTCACGGCTGCTTATTTTCGCGATAATAAAAGCTAATAAAAAGGTTCAATTAAATACCATGGAAACCAATCGATTGTTGCTATGACAATAAGACCACGTGTTTATACAATTACAGTGTTCACTGTTCAGCAGCTATTTATCTATTCTTTAGCAGCTTTAGTGGGAGCCATCCAGTTCTCCATCCGCTATCTTCTTGTATGGACCACTACCTTCGAAATCCTTGCCGCTCCATTTGCTGGTGATAATTAACCACGCCCAAGTCAATAAATGGGTGGAGAGTCCCAAGAATGGGCCAAGATACGGCGAGGCAGAGTGAAGAGAGTAGCTCTGGTTGAAACAGCTCCAAAGAGACCAAGGATTAGTAACAGCAAGAAGAACAACAGCCCAAGAACACTGCAACAGAGTCCTTTGCTATTAATATCGCAGATTTTTCAATTAAAATTGCATTTGGTAACCATGGTAATTGCTGAGTGCGGGAAAAAATCGCAAAAATAAGCAGCCGCGAATATATCCCGACCTACGGTATTTATATTAACAAATTATACAGTACTTATTTGGAGTGTTTTATATTGTACTGTAATTTCTTATTTCTTTTTATTACAATGACTTTTCCTCCCCCTATTTTTCTTTTATTCTCTTCTCCCTCCCTCCCTCTCTCTCTCTCACTCTCTCTCCTCAGGTACTAGTATTACAGTCACAAGGAAGTTAATGGAAGGACTATCACTAGCTGGATCTTCTCTTTGTCTCTTTTCTCTAGCCATTGCCTGTCAGAGTGGACCTTTAGCTGACTTCAATGTCTGTCTGCATGGGTCTTGTTGTAGCTGCCCTGTTCTTTCAAGGGTTTGAAATATCAGGAGTTACCATCAATCCAATAGACCTAGCTCCTTCTTATAGTGGACTCCTTTATGGACTAATGAGTGGACTCTCTGCTCTTATTGGTACAGTAGCAGAATGTGAATTACTATATACTATGTGAATGTAGCTCCAAATTTTTGTGATTTTTCTGAAAATTATAGATATTTGTGAATTGGTAACCAGTATTTTTGTGATTAAAATTTTCATGATTATTGAAATAATTATCACAAAATTTCACAAAAATTTTTGGCCATTGAAATTTGGAGTCATTTAGTAATATATAGCAGCAGTGCTTGCATGTACATTGTATGTGCTGTATTTACATGTAAGGAACTTTAAACTATTGACAGATTTTAGAATAATTTCTTTTATATTTATTCTTTCTTCATTGCTGTCTTTTCTTCTCTCTTCCTCCCTCTTTCTTTCTCTCCTCAGGTCATACAACAACTGGTCTTATGTCTTCTTAATGATACCTGCTGTCTCATTCTCTGGCTGCATCATCTATTCATTATTTGCCAGTGGGAAAAGACTACCTCACAATATGCAAGAGCAAACTTAATACTGCACATTTAATATGGTATTTTATTGACTTTGATGAATATTTAAATTTTTTATCATTTTCCTTAAATAATTGATGAAATTTAAGACACAATGGTATTGTGGACATCAGCACTGGTTTGTAGTGGAGCAGTACTATCAATATCTATTGACTATATTGTAGCTAGCAGAACTGGGGTGGTCAATTACAAGACCTCAGTTACTGTCACATGCATTATCATAAACTAGCATATTAAACAAAAAAGTAATTAATTTTTGGTAAAACTGGCAATCTGTCACCTTCAATAGTCTCATGAGACCGTTATTATACAAAAATTTAATTTCAAAAATAATAATAATTATAACGACTATTCTGATAGTTCCTTTGCCATTTCCATCACGATAGGTGCAAGGATAGGAACCAGTATACCTGTAACAAAACTTAGCAGCTGCATAGTGATGCCATTTTCTTTTTTATACCAATTCACAATGAATCCAGCAATAACTACAATCAAAGCTGCAATGGCAGATCCGAATATCAATATTCTTAAAACTATGAGAATTATTAACATATAACTTCTGGTACACTGTTACTTACGTGTTTTAGGAATCCAGATGGATGCATATCCAACAATAAAAAAGAGTAATAATACTCCAATTACAAAGCCAATAACAAACAAGATGCATTTGTTAGTTCTCTCTATTCTCTCTAACAATAATAATTATTTAAAAAATGAAGCACTATGGTACAATGGAATCGGCTGCTGGGATATGTGTTACTTGTACTGTGATATTTTAAGCAATTTAGGCTATATAACTTTAATAATAGTTGACTTTTTGTTATTATACATTTACCAGGATGTGTATATTGACCTACTTTTAATCTGCTTAGGTATTGTATTGACTTCATTTTGTGTAAATTGTGTTCCTATCATACATGAAGATAATATTTTTATTTTAATAATAGTTGACTTTTTGTTATTATACATTTACCAGGATGTGTATATTGACCTACTTTTAATCTGCTTAGGTATTGTATTGACTTCATTTTGTGTAAATTGTGTTCCTATCATACATGAAGATAATATTTTTATTGCATGAGGATGTAAAATTAGAAAATTTAAAATTATAAGTACAGTAATTACATTAAGATGCAATGGAACAAGCCTGTATCAGAAAAATGGTGACAAAACCAGTTATCAGAGATGTATAAAAGTATAGATGTTCTTTCTTTTAGTAAGTTTACTAGTTTTAAACTGTTAGTGTAAAAGTTAGTTTATCAAGTTAGCTGTACCGAATTGTTCTACTTCTAATGTACACATGCACATGCACTCATGTGCACTTTACTGTCAGGTAATCCTCCTTTTTAGGCTTGAAAGAGCCAGTTTATTTTTACTGCATATGCATGTATGTTAAAATAATTTGCTTTAGAAACATTTCACACTGTTAAAATTCTGTTGTTA